TACAGCAGAGGGTTGGGGTGCAGAGCGTGAGGGCTCTGGCTGGAGTGCGGGCTCTGGGGTGGGGTGGAGTTGGGGATGAAGAGTTTGGGGTGCAGGCAGGCTGCCCTGGGGCTGGGGCCAGAGAGGAGGACTCCCCAGAGCCTTTTCCCCGATGGTAGCAGCGAGCTGCGGGGGAGGGCCCCCCCTCTTCCCCCTGGCAGCACACACACCTTGCACCACTGTCACTGCACGTGCTCCTAGGACCCCTCTCAGGTCCAGGAAGCCCCCTTGCCTCCCCTGCGGTGGGTGTCGGGGGGGGCTGCCATCACATGGTCCCCTGCTGCTGCCCGTCACTGTAGCCTCACTGCGGGTGGGGCATGGGGCTGCCCCTTGCCCAGCGTGAGGCGGGAGCGGTGACTGCAGGTCGGGGAGAGGGGGGTCTCCCTGTGCTGGTGGAGGGTCCCACCAGAAAAGAGAGAGGTCTGAAGCGGAAGGGCAGTGTCAGGGCAGCCTGTCCTGGCCCTAGTGAGTGCGGGGCACTAGGACCCTGCAGCAGCAGTTGATGCAGCAGAGCAGAATGCAGGATGGAGCTGCAGTGGGCAGCCACTGGCTTGAGGCAGCTCAGGGACCCAGGGGAGGCGCACCGGGGCAGCAAGTGGGGACCAAGGGACACTCGGGGGAGGCCGGCGGGGCCAGGGGAGAGACCCGGCCCCAAACATTGGTGGAGCCGGGCCCCTGGGCCCTGATTATTGCTGGAGCCCGGGCACCACAGGCCCATATAACTCGCTGCCCCTGGAGTCACCTTAACAAGGAACCCACATCAGCTGCTTGCTGAAACCACTGAGCCCACTAGATCTGGCTCATCCCATTGTTCACTGCATGACTAGGCCCATCTTTGGGGAGAATTCATCCAGTTCCCTGGGCCCGCGCTGCTTCCCGCAGCCCCCATTGGCCTGGGACGGTGAACCGCAGCCAGTGGGAGCTACGATCGGCTGAACTTGTGGATGCTGCAGATAAACAAGTTTACCCCTTCCAAGCTCTTGGAGACTGCAGTGTTAATTTAGCAGAGCATCTTAGCTTCAAACCAAGTCCTTGGCATAATGAATTAATTGAGTGATTCTGATCAACAAAGAGAGCACCAAAGAGATTTAAATAGCTAGATACAAAGATAAATATTTCTTTGTTCTTCCTGGTAAGCAGTGGCTTGCTCATCATATTACAGGTTGACTGAAATCCAGTTATGTGATTGTATAAACCAGGTGATCTCCAGTGGTCCCATGTGTGCAGCTTCAGAGGGGGCGGGCCTGAAAAGGAGAGGCTTCAGGAGCATCCCCAGAAACAGCAACACCCCCTCAGGCCATAATGATGGCTGACTGGTGATGTGTATCTGCTATCCTCAAACCCTGTTTTGGGGTCCCCCGCCTGCCAAGCAGTGAACGAGGCAGAGTTCCCTTGAAACTGGAGACTTTTCTTTTGTGTGAGCTCCTGGCTTTAGATGCGTCTTTAACCACTGTGGAACATCCAGGATGAATGTACCAGCTGTGCTGGGTCCATCCAGGCAAAGCATGCCTGTTGTGCCTTCAGACTCACTCGGTATGTCCAGGCAGAGAAGAGTGGCCCAAATATGTCCTCATTATCCATTGACTGCAATGGAATATTAGTAGAAACCTGTAGCACAGTGGAGGACCAACAGCAGAAAGGTTGAGAGGCAAAGGGCATTCTACCACCTACCACACAGGAGATGCAATTCCACTCCAGGAGGAGATGACTTCTTACTGCCTACAAACGTGCACAGTGCTGCTTGTATCTCTGTGACTCATACCCACCATCTGTATTTTAGCCAAAATACAGACATATACAGACAGGTGCATCGTGTAGATGGAGAGACCAACAGATAAGAGACAGGTGGGGAGGTTTCTGTTTTCCTTCCTGCCTTCTGGAGATTTTGGCATTCCTCCTTTTTTGCTCTTTCTCTGCTTTGCTGACTAAAAAACTGAAATGGAAGAATAGAATGAGAGAGACCTGCCAATGGGAAGAGAACAGGAGAGGTTGATGGGATGGTCCAGGAGAGCCAACCAAACTGAAAGTCTCAATGAGACAACAGCATTTTGATTCCTCACCAGGTGTCCTGTAACCTTCCTTTCCTCTAGAACAGACTTCCCTACATTAGTTCATAATGCCAATGTTTAGATCAGGGACCCAGGGGGGATCGGCAACCTTTGGCATGCAGCCCGCCAGGGTAAGCCCTCTGGCAGGCCGGGCCGGTTTGTTTACTTGATATGTCTGCAGGTTCGGCCGATCGCAGCTCCCACTGGCCGTGGTTCGCTGCTCCAGGCCAATGGGGGCTGCAAGAAATGGCACGTGCCACGTGCCAAAGGTTGCCGATCCCTGGTTTAGATGCTACATTGATAAGTGCTACAGGAAACCTAAGAGAAATAAATAATGAATATACTCAGCCCTTAGACTGTGTAGTGCTTTTTATCCATAATGAACAATGGGAGGATTGGAAACTGAGGCACAGAACGATCAAGTGACTTGCACAAGGCCATACATGCGAGTCACTGTCAGAGTCAGGAACAGAAGCCAGGCGTCCTGACTCCCAGGCTAGAGCTGGCTGAAAAATGGGGAAAAAAATCTTCAAAAAATATTTTACAGGAAATTTACTTTGGTTGAAATTTCTAACTAGCTCCACTCTCAGCCCTTTCCACTGCCACTATGCCCTATGGGTCCTGACAAATGGGTTGGAGTGCTAAATGGTGTGTGTCTAGCTCCATTCTGATTTCATTAGCCTCTGTACAAGGCAGGAGGCCACCCTGAGTCTGATTCACACTGCCCCCACCCCAAGCTCCCTGACTCTGCTCTGCCTCTTGTCATGTATATGGAGTTTTGCAGAACTCTCTAAGCAATTCTTCAAGGAAGATTGACTGATCTGAGGGGTTAGTCATCCTGCAGGTTAGCGAACATGACATCTGGTGGAGGATTAACAGGAAATCATGAATCAAACCGTTGGGACTGATAAGGGATTCTCAAGCAATTAAAGTTTTCTAGCATGCGCGTGCACACCAATACTGAGTGAAGGTCAGAGGAGTAACACACCTGTGGTCTCATACACACTCACAATTGCCAGAGCTGAAAACATGAGATATGTTGTCAGAGCTGCGTGGAGGCCAAGAAGTAGGATAGCAGAGGCTGCTGCAGGCCTGGATTGAGGTGCAGTGGAATAACAGAGACGGCAGCTCAAGATTGAGGTGCTTCAGCAGATTAATGTGGTAGCTCAGGACTGGTATATCAGTGGGGTTGCAGGTCAGGATTGAAGTACATTGGCAGCGCTTTGTATGGAGCTCTTTGCTCCCACCCATCCTCCCTCTTTGTGCAAGATCTCTGTGTGATGTTTCCAAAGAACAGATAGAGAAGACTTGCCACAGGGTCCTTCCTCCATCCCTCCCAACATCTCCTCCTCCTCCCCATCACTGAGGCTGATGTTTGCTGTCTGCCCTTCACCTGCAACCCCTACACCTGCCCCAGTGACTTCCCATTCTCTCCTGGTTGCTGACCTCCCTTGGCCCCAGTCTCACTGCCTTTCTCTCGCCTCCTTAATTTCTGGCTCCCTTCTTCCTCTTCTCCCAGTAAATCTCTGCTGATGACTTTAATACTCCAGGTGTGAGTGGTTCTGGTGCTCTGTTTAATGAAACAGCAATGGATTGGAGCCCACTAGCCCTGGAAAACCCATACCAAGAGCTTTCTCTTGCAAACTGCATACAGTAATTGGGATTCAGGGGGCCCAACATGTGCTTCCTGGCCCTGTGGGTCGACGAGCATGCTCCTGGCAGCTTCTGAAGTGTGTCAGAATGGGGTGCGTGGTGGACCAGACAGGAAAAATACATTCATTCAAGGGCTGGTTTAAAGGGGGAAGAACAACCTGGAGCACGCCTGTACTCGCACATGCTGGGGCATGGCAAGGAATGCAGGGAAAAGGCGCTTCAGAAATGTTGAATGGCAGTGTTGTTAGCTCTCATGATTTTATTGCGAGTCTTGCGATATTTGGAGTTTGTTTGTCTTAAAGACCAAGCGTCTGGAGATGTGATTGTGAGAATCTCAGTGTTCATTTTTTGTAAAGAACTTTTAAACCTTTGTGGTTTTGGAGTAAAGCTTGAAAATGTGACCTGATCGCACACAAAAGGCTCAGAAACCATAGGGCAAAGAAAAAGAAACCAAACGTGGAGTTTTGTTTAAAAAAAAAAACACTCGTGATTTTTAAGTTAATAATGATCTTCTGAGCCTGACTGATGATTAATGATTGGGTTGGCGGCCCTGAAATAGCAGAAGGGGCTGTGATTTTACAATCTCTGTTGTGCAATGGCTTTCATTACAAAGGGGTGTGTGAGCATGCATCACACCTTTCAGTAGCCAACACAATCTCATTGTCTGGGGCAGGGTCATGTGACTGAAAAGTGGTTGGCTTTGTTGCCCTCTGTAGGTCAGTCTCCTTTGGGATCCACACTACTGTATGAGGGTCACATGACCGTCTCCCAACCAATCATATTGCATCTCTCTTTTTCCCTCCTCAGCGGCTCCTCCCTCTTTCATATTCATTTTGAGGAACATAGGGGGTGCGGTGCGTGGGTCAGATGGAGGCAGCCACAACTAGGGCTGCTGCCCTGTGCTCCATTCATAGTGGGTGTAAATAAAATACTTCCGTCTCCAGGGCTGTCAATCCAGCATCTCCCACTCGTGCCAAGCATCTCCCTGCAGGAATTGTCTTTAGTTTTTGCTTTGCTTAGTGCTATGCCAAGCATGTGCTCTATGCTTAACAAATAACAATTAAGGTCACCCATGCAAATTATTAAAATCAAGCTAACAAACATGTCTGTGATTGTGTGCGCAAGACCAAATGGATGTGCAAGTGTGTGCATGCGAGTGTGCGAGCATTGTGCATATATATGACAATCATCAGTCAGTACTTGTGTGTGTGTGTGTGGGGGGGGGAAGTTTGTAACTCAGCCATATCCCTTTGGTTTCAGAGTCTAACAGCCGACGGGCAGTCAACAGAGGCTACCTGTGTGAACTGCTCAGGCTGTACCAGGACTGGCACTGCTGTGATGCCTCCAATAGGTACATCCATGTCCGCAGGGGTCTCCTGCTCTGCCTCAAACACATCACCAACATCCGATCTGCCAGGGAGACTTTCCTCAGTGCCCGTGGCCTGGAGATCCTCTTCACCACTGCACAGGTAAACACAATCTGGGGACTAGACTGAGCCAGCTCAGCAGCTGCTTCTGGCTTGTTCTGCCGTTGCAACGTAGAATTCTTCTTATGTTTTAAGCGGAGCTGATTGAAAAATGGAATTTCCGTCCTGTAGAAAATTGCGATACTTTGACTATTTTTTTTTTGTCCCAAATCAGGACAAAAATTCAAAACATTGAAATTTTTCAGAGAACAAAAAATCAGTTCAGAAATGTTGAAACATTTCATCTTTAATGTTAATCTCCGTCTGTCTGCGCCTCTGCAGGGCCTCATGGGAATTGTAGCTCCAGGTCCCTCATGCCCCTATTCTTCCTATGGACCCTACTCCCTTGCTAGCTTGCATCTCCCAAGATGCTCCACAATCTCTCCCTGTGGCTGAGCCGCTGCAGCATCTCACAGGTGCATGGGAGATGCATCCTAATGGGACGTCCTTCCTCTGGGGCCTGAGGAATTGGTCACTGCTTCAGGTGGGGCTAGGGGATCAGATGTAGCAAGGTTTCAATCAGGTTAATGGCTCTTGTGAACAGTAAGTCCCCAATGCATGTGGTGAATGGAAGCAGCTGTGTGAGAGCAATGTCTGTGACAGCCGATCATGGCTTGTTGCCTTTATAAGCCTTTATCAGTCCATGGTGCCTTCTGAGCTAATGTCTCCTGATAGCTCAGCCTGGGAGAAACACCCTGAAAAGTGCAAACACTGGGTCACCTTGGGTGAATAAACAAGATACGACGCACCAAGAATCCCGTGAAGAGTGAGAATGCTAATCCTTCCAAAGGTTGGGAGTGGAGCAGAAATGACAGCTTCAGGGGGTTCCAATTTGCTTTCTCTACCACGTGCCATGGGAGATCTGTTGGCAGGGGAATCACCAAGGTTAATAAGTCCAAAATATCACATTCCTTGACCCCTAAAAGGTACATTTCTGGTCTTACACTGTCTCCCTGAGAGATCAAATGATGTTCTCCCAACCGCCTGGAGGAAAGGTACAACCCTGTGAGGATCCCGCCCAATTCCCCACTCACAGCTAGAAACCACAGATGAGTGTGTGCACAGATGAGTGTGTTGAAACAGAAACGTTTTGAGACCATTTGATTTTGACGATGTTCCAACAGAACCCAGGAAAGACTCATATGGAACGCTGCCTGTCAGGTAGTTTTCTGACAGAAACCTGCCTGCTTCCCTGCCAGCTCAATCACCTTGGATCCTCAGTAGCCCATCTGGCATGCTGACAGGAACCCGAGAGCCTGGAAGCCTTGGGAGTCCTGACGCATGGCACTTCAGCAGCCTGGGCTTCTTGGGTCCCCTGCTCTGTGGCAACCCATCAGATACCCTGCCCCAGAAATGGGGCTCCAGTCTCTTCTGTGGTGAATTAAAAAAAAAAATGTGGATTTTCATTTTGAATCAGAACAGAAACAAATGTTGAAATATTACTAGTCTCCATGAAATAGAAATACTTTTCTCCACTCAGCTGTTGTGTTAAACTCTTTCTATGCTCATGCTTAAATGTGCTGGTTAAAACATGTTCGCAAACACGTCTTTAAACACGACCTATTGGCCTAATCTGGCTGAGGTCTCAGACAGAGCTCACAGGCCTTGGAGGCATGCAGGTCGCAGTGAGATGAGAAAATGTTCTCTGCCCCGCAAGAGTGTGCAGGAGACGGTTGCATGCAGCACCCTCTCTGCTTCTTTATTATTTGCACATCTGATTTCTTTTTTGGCTCAGCTGGTATCTCCTCAGTCCCTGTGCCTTAGCCTTTCCTCTCAGTTAATATGGTTATAGTCTCAACCTTTCCTATACTGGCATCGAATAACTCACAAATACACGGAGTGCAGAGACTACAGCACAGATGAGTTGAGTTCAGGTCAACTCTACTTTGGATTTCTGAACTAAGAATTGTTTCAGAGTAGCAGCCGTGTTAGTCTGTATTCGCAAAAAGAAAAGGAGGACTTGTGGCACCTTAGAGACTAACCAATTTATTTGAGCACGAAAGCTCATGCTCAAATAAATTGGTTAGTCTCTAAGGTGCCACAAGTACTCCTTTTCTTTTTGTGAACTAAGAACTGAGTCTGTTCACGGCTACTATCACCCTTCCAAGCAGCATGCCTGCAGCAACTTTACCCTCACACCACTGTTTGCGCATACATGAGATGCTATGTGGTTTAATCCGCACCTTTGGACTGTATCCAGAGGACTTCTGTTTGACGTTATACTGTGCTTCACAAACAGTTCTTTGCCCACTTACAGACCACATCATGTGAGGATCTCAAAGCATTTACAAACATTCGTGAACGTAGGCTCACAAAAATAGCTGCAAGGTAAAGTGTCTCTTACTGATAAGGAAATTGAGACACAGAGAAGCCGAGTGACTTGCCCTGTATTAGACAGTGAGTCAGAGGCAAAGCTGTGAATAGAAACCAGTTCTTGTAGGCCTTTGCTCTTCCCTTCCTCAGAGCTGATTTCAGAATTGTCTTTTCTCCCACTCTTATTTTTCTAGCCTCCCCATAGGAATCCTGCCTAATTCTAGGTTATTTTTCTTGCCTCCCCATAGGAATCCTGCCTAATTCCACAGACTCTTATAATGCCCTTCATTCATACAGGCGGAAGTGAACCAAGAGCCTGTATAAAATACAGCTGTTTTCCTTTTATTGCGTATTACAAAGCACTTCAGTTTGTTCACCAATCACCCTGCTGGACGAGCTGAATAGCCTCGGCCCTCCATATTTCCCACTGTGGGATGCTCAGCCAGCGGCACTAACCATTTATTCTGTCTTCTGGATTGTTCCATTTTCAATGTCTACCGAGAGGGTGTAAACATTCTGAATGGTAATAAAAGATCATGTTGATGTTGCTCTTTCATGTATTGGTGCCTTTATGATGCTTTCTGTGGCTTCTACTAATATTGTGGTGTGTGAGGGCTCAGTCCCAAGTCACCAAGGATACAGACACTCAGCTACTATGCTAGCAGGCATGGTACAGCATAAGAAGCTAGCTAGACAGATGATAGCTATATTAGCTTTACAGTCCTCTTCCCCCTGAGGAGGCTGTGGTGTATATATGCGCTGTAGCTATGAAACGACGATTCCTTTGTTTTCTCTGTATTGCACATATAAATGTCTAAGAACTCCACCTTTGGGCAGAGGCAGCAACCATTTTGTTCTCAGAGCTGCTGTCCTTGTTCCAGAAGAGGCACTCACCCATTGCACCCTCCCCAGGAGAATTCCCTTTTTATTCTTGCTTGTCTTGTTTTCCTTAATTTAAAATAAAAGTCCTTCAAGCTGAAAATCTGTGGTTCCACTCTGTGTGTGTGTGTGTGTGCACGCACGCGTGCACATGGGGAAAAACTAATGGAGATCAAGGAAACTGCCCCCGCATGGGATATGTCCGGACCACTGAGTGCCCGGCTGAGGTAGAAGCAGATGCAGGCTGGGACAGGGGCTGGCTAGCATGGAAACAGAGATGAGTAGGCTGGAGTTGGAGCAAGGGCAGTCTATTAAAACAATTGGCAATGGGAGTATTCCTGGCCAGGTAGTGATGCTGAGCAGAATAGAGAGATCGTTTCCCTTAGGAGCCTATGTGCCTGAGGTTGGATCACCTGGGTGTGGGTTCTTGCCTGTGGATTGACTAAACCCTTGCTGAATGGCACGGGGCCTATTACTAGACCTGCAGGTAGTTGCTTCTGATGACTCATCACTAAGGCTAAGCTTTTGTCACAGATATTTTTAGTAAAAGTCAGGGACAGGTCATGGGAAATAAACAAAAATTCACGGCAGCCCGCAACTTGTCCCTGATTTTCACTGAAAATATCCCTGACAAAAGGGGTAGGAGGGTTCAGCACCCACTGTTGCTGGGGCTCCTGGGTCCCCCACTGATGTGGTGTGTGGGAGCTCCAGGGTCCTCCTGCCCCGGGACTGGGCTGCTGTGGGGTCCCCTCACCCTGGACAGCTGGTAGCTGCAGCTGCGGCTGGGCAGATTCAGGGGCCTGCTGGCCGTCATGGCTGGGCAGCTGCAGGGTCCGCCAGCCGCTTGCTGTGGATGGACAGCTGCAGGGTGCCCCCACCAGATTGGGGACTGGGAGCTGTGAGGACATGGCTGGCTGGGAGCTCCAGCCCCAGGGCAGAAAATGTCACAGAGATCAGTGGAAGTCAAGGATTCTGTGACCTCTGTGACATAATCGTTGCTTTACTCATCACACTCTGGCTCAGGGATGACATGGGTGGCTGAGTAGGAAGTGCTGTCCCTTCTGAATCAGTATTAAGCCACAGTTCAGTGCTGGAGGGGACTGTGTTTTATGTAGACTTACAGTTTGCTGGCACGTCTTAAAAATTAAAAAAAAAAAAAAGAAAAAAAAAAGTTGAGCTGACAATAAAATCTATCACAATTTTCAGAAAGCCAAAAAGCGAAGAAAAATTCATTTCTGGTGAAATGAAGCATTTCATTTGGATTTAGAGCTTTTTTTTAAAAAAAGTGTTTTTAAATTGGAAGGAAATTTCTGAGTTAAAAGTTCTTTCAAACTGAAAAATAGAAACATTCAGACTTTTTTTGTCATTTGTTTTAAATGATCAGTTCGGTGAAACTGGCACGAATTCACAAAACATTTTGGTCGCTGAATCAGCATTTCATGCCCCCCAAAGAGCTCCAGCTGAAGAATTTTGCCCCATGCTAGCTGTAGGGAGGTGTATGGATAATTCAGTAGCAGGTGCTCTTTTTTTTTTTTTTTTTTTCTGAGACGCTACTGACCCCAGTGCCTTCGAATGGTGCTAGGAAACCCTGTGCCCTTTAGATGGATGTACCAGGAGATGGTGAATGACCTGTAGAAGCAGATAAACTATTAAAAAACCAAGATGCTATGCTCCCATGTAGACTTCCCTGCTGTGATAAGGAAGGAAAAGGATGAAAGAGAAACACGGGAAATATAAGAAGTTGACACAGAACTGCCTGAATATTATTCAAATGCTGCTCTTTAAGGCTTTCAGGGAAGCAGCTATTTTAAAGTCTGGCAGATCTGTGCAAGAGGAAGGATGCTTCTGAATGGCAAACATCACTGAATATTCTTCTTCATTGGTGCCTAGGATTGCCTGGATAGCAAGCTCCTTGATCCTATAGTAACTACAGTGGCCCAGATCCTGAGGAAGTGCTACCCCAAGGGGCCTCTGCCTTTGGCTACAGTACACAGCTCCTATTCCTTCTCTCTTCCTGGGAGTGTCAGCTCCGAATCTCCACGTGCAGTTCTTGAAGGTAAATTGCTGACTGAAGAGAGAATGTGTGTGTGTGTGTGGGGGGGCCCAGTGAGGGACTGATGGGGAGAATGGAAGGTCGGGGCCAGGGGAGAGAGGAATCTAGTCCTGAGCTTTTCATTTAAAATTGCATGGTGACCCAGACTGTTATGCTACAGAACTGGGTCTGAATCCCTCACTTTCTATCAAGGCCAGCAGGGGAGATGTGAGATAGTGAAGGGTAGGGGAAATTAAATTAAATCCTTATTGCTTTAAAGTGACCTAAAGGAATGGCCTTGGCAAAGGCTGGAACTACTGTTGCTTCATGGCAACTGGGAAGGGAGGGTGTGTGTGTGTGAGAGAGAGAGCGTAGCAGGTTTATGTAATTTTTGGTGATGCCCAGAATGGAGTCATCCTATCCATAGGATGGACTGTGGCAACCGCCCCAGACCCTGTGCTCTGGGGGGCCCTGCCCTTCAGTGGGACATGGGTCCAGGGCAGCCTGGAGGGTTATTGGGGGGGGGGGGGGAGGTGTCTGGCGCTGGCAGCAGCGTGTGACCCGGCCCCAAACCACCCCCTTCCACCCTTTCCCCCAAGCCCCCACCCCATCTCTTTCTGGCTTCTGCCCCTTCCCCTGAGCGACACCAGGAGCCCCCAAAAGCACCAAACATTGGTGGAGCTGGGCCCTCTTTCCTAAATATTGGTGGAGCACAAGCACCACGGGCCCATATACCTCACCGCCCATGTGTGGGGGTGTGGGTGTGTGCACACGTCCTTCCTTGCAACTTTTTTAGTAAATTGATGCTGCCAACCAATGGCTCTTTTTCCTTCTCGAATAATCTGGCTGCGGCTATGCTATGTGAATGGAGTTTGTGAGCACTTGCAGGCCAGGAGGGTGTATGCCCAGGCAGGGGAGCTGCATATATGCAAGAAGCGTGCCCAGGAATGAAACAAATATGACCTTGTGCACTGCCAGCCTTCATGCTCCTTACCAGCACCATTATGGTACAACCCAAACAAACCTCTGACTACTATTTCATGTGTGCAACCATTTTCAGCAAAGATTGTGGAGCTTCTGCTCTATACCTCCAATTTTCTGCCTCATCTCTTTAGAAGGTATTGATCTTCAGGATTTTCCTTGATTTTCATGGGACGTTTCTGCTTTCCTCTGGATACTCCTGCTTCTTTTAGTCTAGGCATGTAGGACATACCATAGCAAGAATAAAACTCACCACCCTACTTGCCTACCCCACCTCCGGCAAACCTAAACCAAGCAAATCAAACAATAAAATCCAGGCCCAAGATAATTTTTACCCCCCAGAAAGAAGAAGAGCCAGAGATGCCATAAAGTCCACTAGGGACTTCATTGTTGCTATTGACTTTTACATGGAAGGTGCTCAGATACACCAGTAATGGGCGTCTAGGAAGTCCTAGATCCCATATGAAGCTGTATCTGATGGAACACATGGGATCTAATCTTTATTCTAAGTCTTACATTTAGCTTTGTGGTGGTTTATAGGGACAAGACATGGATACTGCACATGAGGGTGGCCTGCCTTTTTGGGGTGGGCTAGGGAGAAGGCTATTATGATGGAGGCCACGTGCTCCACCTCTTTTCTACTTTTGCAGATGGCTATGAAGATGATGGTGAGGAAGAAGTGGAAAAAGACCTGGATAACGAGGACCTGGAGCATAAAGAGGAAGTAGGTATATGAGTCACAGCTTCCTTTAAAATGCTCCATGTTCTGTGAAGGGAAGTTTTTTTGCCCCCCCCCCCGCCCCAATTTTGAGCTCTGATGGGCAGGGGCACCATTTCAGATGGGGGGTAATTTTAACTGTGATTCCAGAGGCTACTTGGGCACCTGAAAACTCTGTTTGTTTTTCAGATAGTAACTTAGGTAGAGTGCTCCTGTCAGATAATAATTTCTAATTCTGAAAGAAAGAAAGAAAGAAAGAAAGAAAGAAAATTAAATAAATATTAGACCCACTCAGCTCTAATACTAACATGTTCTGACATCTTGTGTCAATTCACTTAAGGGACACTGGTTAGGTTTAAAATTGTAATGTGTATTCTTACTTTGTTACTAATTGTTGAATACAACAATTGTAGAAAAATCTAGATTACTTTCTATCACTTTTTTTGCAGTTCATCAAGCTTGGAATAGATCATTTAACTTTTGGAAACATCCTACTAGGGCAAGACCCCATGAGTTTATACTGCACCTGCCTGGGGCTCTAGGGGTGTTACCCCACTACAAATAGACTAGAAACTCTCCAAAAATAATTAGATTGGCTTTAAAAATAATGATATTATATAAAAATAATAGATTTGGTGTTCTTTTTATTTACATACTGCTTTTTGATCCTTCACAGTGCACTGGGGTCACATCTCCACAGCCGCAAGGGCTAGAAACTTCATTTCTCTTTAAGAATGAAGGATGAAATCATCACATATCCACTTGACTCCAGGAGTTGGAGCTTTAAGGAAAACAATAATTATCATGAGACTCATGACAAAATCATGAGAGTTGGCAACACTGCCTTCTGTTTAGAGGCTAGTTACTTTCCAGGAGGGTCACACTACAGTGCTTGAATTGCAGTTTTCACAGGAGAATATTTAAAACCAAACATCAAGAAAATTCCGTCTTTTAAAGTTGAGGAAAAATATTGAGACTTTTGAGGTATCTCAGGGCCACTGCAGGCAGGAAAGGAAAATTAACAGCACAGGAGCTCTGGGCAGCTCTTCCTCCTGAAAGAAAATTGGAGGGTCTAATCTTCTAGATGTTAATCAAGTAAAACTATTGCCATAGATATTAACATCACAGTGAACACGTGATAACATGTGTGGTCAATAACTATACACTTCATACTTAAATATCCAGGCCATCTTATCCAGAGTTACACATCATATATGCATTGGCTCAGGGACTACGTTTTCCCACTAGATGCCTTTGAAAATCTGGCCTTTAGTCTGTGTCCCCTTGTGTGACCAGACAGCAAGTGTGAAAAATTAGGACAGGGGGTGGAGGGTAATAGACGCCTATATAAGACAAAGCCCCAAAGGTCGGAATGGTCCCTATACAGTTGGGACATCTGGTCATCCAAGTGTGTCCCTCAGTGCCCCATTTGTACAATGGGAATAATAGCATTGCTCTACCTCGCCGAAGGGCTGTGATGTGAGGCACTCAGATACTATGGTGATGGGGCCACATAAGTACCACAAGTAGAGTGGAAACTTTTCTATATCACTGCTAACCCTTCCCTCGGTTTTGGCCCCTTCTTTTCACCTGCCCGCCTCACATCTCCCTCTTTTCTGAAAGTAAACTTGGCTTAGAGGGCTTGGCTATATTTCTTCTGAGTCCCCTGCTTTCTCTCTGCAACCCCCACTCCCTCCCAGAGGGATTATTGTTTTACAGATTCATCTAATGACTTCCAGATCCTTAACCTTTCTTATCTTAATCACCCTGCCTCTGTTTGTAAATAAGACACTGACTCCCTGCCCCAAGGGCACAAGCTGCCAGAAGCACCTGTCTGCAGAACTCGCATTCCACACTAATTCTGTGCAGTTAAGAGGTCCGCCTGGAAGCCCACCTCCTGCAAGAAACTCAGGGTGAGGTGTCCTGCAGGGCCGTCCTTACCCATACGCAAAGCACGCAGCAGTGTAGGGCACCAGGAAATTTGGGGCACCAAATTTCCTGGGTGCCCTGCGCAGCTGTGTGCTGCTCCAGCTCCGGCTCTTCCCCATGGCCTGTGCCCCTTTCCTGCCCCTTCCGCGCCTCAGCCCCACCCCTGCTCCGCCCCAGCCCTGCCTCCACTCCCCTGAGCTCAGCCGCACCATCGGTGAGTGCTGGGGGGTGGTTCTCCCCTGCCCCCCAAGCCAGGCCCACCCCACAGAGGCCTGGGGCCAGCCCCCCGGCTCCTACCCCCTCAGAGGCCTGCGTAGGGCCCCAGAATAGCTAGGGACATCCCTGGTGTGTTGCCCTCCCTAATTGGCACCCTTGCCATTCACAGACAGAAAGTTGATTTGTTTGTGGACCCAAAGCAGATATATAATCATATAGGGCTGCTTGACCGCAGAAAAGGCAAGAGCAACATCTTCCTTGGAAGGGCGGTCTCTTGAACACACGGCTAAATGGTGCAGGCAGACGTCTAGGCAGTTTGGGATGCAGCCAGTGGTGCAAGTAATATTATTTTCTTCCCAGTACGGGGTGGGGAGCACACCAGGTAAGGGCGGGGGGCACGTGACTTCTCCACATGACCCCCCCACATGACTCTGCCCCACCCCCAGCCCGGAGCCCCTACACTCTTCCTCTCCCCTCCCCATCCCAGGAAAGGAGCAGAAGAACTCCCAGCCCCATTCCCTACCCTTTCACGGAGCTGCTTCTCCTCCGGCTCCACACAGCGGCAGCCCTGCCGGGGGACAGGGCTGGGGGTTCTGCTCCTTTCCCTACTGCGGGGGCAGCATCATGCAGGGAAAGGAACAGAATGCCGGCAACTCCTTTTGCTTCCGTACTGCTCCCAGCTCCCCCACCCAGCCCTGTTCTCTTGAGAGGCAGCTCTGTGGAGGGGCTGGGGGCGGTATGGTGTCTTTCCAGTACGCCGTACTGGCTATAGATAGCTTGCTGCTCCAGCATACCAGACTGCATTGACTTACTTGCACTGCTGGATGCAGTGGCCAGGATGGTGTCTGAGAAGCTGAGAATACTTCAGCTTTGTGTAGGTAACCTATATGATTTGCCCTTTATTATAGAGAGAGCTGGCCAATCTAATCCCGGGAACAATCTGGTCATCACTCTGAGTTCCTTGTTTCTGTTCCCCAACAGATTCTGAACAGCATCATGATTTCCCCACATTTCTTCCTCGCTCGCATTTACTACAGGAATAAAACTTTTGGGTGATCTGCTTTCAGGCCATGGTTTGCTCACGAACTGTCACCTCATGTATTTCATAGTCCCAATTTGAGCTGTATGTAGGTCACATGGTATTTTTTCCATTTCCCATTTGAGTGATTATACCTTTTACAACTAGAGTCATGAATAAGTCTCACTGGAGCTTTGATTCTTCCAGGCAGAAGGGATGGGAGGCACTTTAAGGAGAAGGTGATAGGAGGCCTAGGAGATTTTAGGAAGTATTAATCTTTTCCTTTTTTCCCTATCACAATAGCATTATATTTTGGCTATGTACCTGGACCCCAGTCTTTAAAACAGCTTGGCTCCTTTAAGCTACAGCTGGAGCACCTACTCTTAGCCACTTTCTTTTACCTGTTCCTGCTTATCTCATGAACAAATAATTATTCAGAACATTGTTTGCTTTCTCTCCTCACTCTCTTTCCCTGCCACACCCAGCTCTGAAAGGCACAAATTGAGGATGCATTTGCAACCCTTCTACTAGGTGGAGCCGGCAGCAACCCGGGCTGGGTTCAATATCTAGGGGTTCCTTTTCAACAATACAGCACAGAACCAGCTCAAGCCCTGACCCAGTAACCTGGAAAAATTACATAGCACCCCTGGGTGTCTCTGAGAGGCCATACTTCCCCACTCGCAAACACAGAGTCTGAGTGTAGAGAAGAAACTTTTAATGAAAGGAGGGAAGTTACCCGACATTAATTAGGAAAAATGCCACAAGCAGGATTTATAATCATAATACTGTGAACAGGACACCCGACCCAGAGTGCTCCCTCACCATATCCCACTCACAGTGTTTGTCCTTGGTCAGTGAGTACCTAGACTTCAGAGGTGCATCTGTGAGAGTTCACGTCCAACCCAGGGAAGAAGGCACCTTGCTTGCACCGCCATCTGAGCACTTGCTCTGGCTGGCCGACCTGCCAGCCACAGTTCCTCTCTGCTAGCTGATCTGCGAGCTGCGGTTCCTCACCACCTGGCCAGCCCGCCAGCCGCTGTTCCTGGCCGTCCTGCCCTTCCCGCCAGCCGCTGTTCCTTGCCGCCTGGCTGTCCCACCAGCCATAGTTCCTTTCCACCGGCCGGCCTGCCAGCCAGCCACGGTTCCTCTCTGCTGGCCGGCCCACCACCTGTGGTTCCTCACTGCCTGGCTGGCCCGCCAGCCACGGTTCCTCTCCGCTAGTCACCCTGCCCGCTGCTCGTCAGCCGCTCGTTGCCTCGCCAGCCGCTTGTTTGCCAGCCAACTGTCAGTCATCTTCTACTCCCTCTTGCCTCTTTGCTGTGATCTCTGCACATCAGTCTCTTAATGATTTTCAGCTATGGCAGGCTGGGCAGAAACACTGCCCCATCTCAAGTGATTTCAGCTCTCATTTGAGCACTTTAACATAACAAAGGGCTCCTAATGAAGCCTATTTAGCTCTATCTTTGAACAGTGGGAAGAGACAGGTTAAACTAGATCAGAGACCCTTACGGAGAGTCCACACCTTCTGGCTGGGAGACCTGTCTCTGCCCCTCTTACTTTCCCAGGGGTCTGGCATTCGAGCCCCTGGCTTAGCGAGTTCCTTTCAGTCGGGACAAGCTTAACACAGTTCTGCTCGCCTTTACTCATACAGTGAAGATAACATTGATAACAACATTTCACTACCCCTGCATTCAGTATTAAAAGTTATATAATAATACACAGATTAAGAAAAGAGTGTCTGTACATCTGGGTATAGTGCTTAGATTATCCACAAATACAAAGTTTGTTTTAAAAGTCATAAGATACATATAGTGCATAATCAGCAAACTGAAATTTAGGTGAATACATTTAAGAATACAGTTTGGATATTTGCATCCAAGTATTCAGGTACATCACTCATGAAAAGTTATACAGAGTTGGCTGTGGAAAGCAAATATAGCAATGAGTGAAGATTGTCCCTCAGTAATTGAGCATTTAGGGTAGGTTGTCCATTTACAAAATACAATCCATCAGGAAAGTATTTCAGTAACTTTCCCAGCAGTGCTTCTCATTGGCACTCCAGCTCATCCCTCCTGGTATTGCCGATGTCCGCTGATGTGTTCTATGTAGATGTCATCGACCACCTGATGGCATGATTTGTAACCCAACACCAGACAAAGCTGATCACTTGGAGCAACACAAGTCCTGTCTGCTAGATACCTACACAGAGTAGTGTATTCATGTATATTCAGTTTGCCCCTGAAGTCTCTCCCCCTCCCAAACTAGCTGTCAGGGGAGAGTTCATTCAGACCCTGCTTACACATGCAAAAGTTCTTGCTGTGAAAATGCATCTTTGTACAAACACACATTCCAGCATGAATGAGTTTTCGCCCTCTCAAACATATTTGCAAACAAAATCTTGTTCCTACAAATGTTTGTGGTCATCAAATTCAAAAGGGCACAAATGCCGTGTGATCTGATGCAGTTTAGATGTGAATTGAATGTTATTTTCACTGTTTGCCTGCCCTGCCTACCTGAACATTAATATGTCACCCAAATGACAAAAAGGAAAGAAAACAAATGGGCTCAGCATGCTAACCTTCCCGTTAGTGACTATTTTCATCTGAAAACTGGCCAAACTGTTCATTAGAAATCATGTTCTTTGCCAAGTTAGCCCCTTTTTTGTTTAGTAATTCATTCCCAAACACATCCTAAAATCTGTAATTATGTTCATTATTCATAAGGATTCACCAACTAGTTGTGAACAGTTTTTAGTTTATTGGCTGTTTGCCAACACTTTGCTTTGAATATGAGTTTTATTTATTGGTCTCGTATGGTTGTCTCGTATGGTCGTAAGTCTCATGCTACCCCACCTTCTGACTGACTTTTACACAGATTGATAATGGAGGATGAGTCGTGAACTTTCAGTGAAAATTTTTGTGCAAAGAATCATTTGTGCTCAAGTTCCTGATACTTTTGTGATTCAAAAACTTTTTCACAGCTACTTGGCAGGTGTTCAAATATATGTGAATAATGTCTAATACTAATCATAGTGAACTTAGCACAACACTTTTGTTGGTGAAAATATTTGTGAATCCTCTCTCTAACTATTTGATCAGCTCTACCAAAACCGGAGTCCCTGTACCAATCGAACATCCAGTCCTGTCATGGAGCCCATCCCCACCATCCAAATCATTAAAATCCACCCCTACAGATTCCACATAATTCTCCAAACTGTCAGTCCATCCAAACCAATCTTCAAGAGCCCAGCAAACCTCCAACACTCACTGCTGACTCCCATGTCAACCAGTTCCAACCACCGCCTCAAGTCAACACAAGTAACACTTTGTAGAAACAGCTCAGCCTTTCAGTACTGCTATGGCTCAGGGTTTGAACTGCTGTCGACACCCTGGTGTTCATGGGAGTTTGTTGATAAATAGAATCATTTCTGAAGTTATTATCAAGAGCAAATTGCTTCTTTGTTGTGGTTTGGTGGTGAATGCTTGCTAACTGCATGCTGAATTATTTGAATAATGCTGTCATGTCGCAGCCATTCATCAATGCCATTTAGCCACCCGACCCCCCCTTCCCATTCTGTTATGTGATGACTAAACACTTGACACTGCATGTCTTTGACTCTTGTATCTGATACGGAGGGGGATGCATGTCAATGCACAGTTGCCTTTGGATGTGCAAGTTTCAGACATGATCCTTGTCGTTGCTTTATAGATAACTGCAAACCCAAAAGAATTTAAAAAAAAATGAACAGAAGATGGATTGGTCAAGAGACTAAAAGCTATTTATCAACAGCGTAGAAAGATATAAATAAAGTAACAGATGAGAAATCAGTGCTTGAGGGCTCAGTGAGGTGTGTAGTAGAGGGATGGGGATTTGGGTTTCAAAGGCAGAGAGAGGGGGCCCTCATGAGCAGCAGTGGGGACCAAGGCAATCTTGGTTTGAAGAGGCTGGACACTAGAAGATGCTATTTTGCTGGTAATCAGCAAAACTCATTTTGCCTGTGACACACTGTGGGATTTTCTTAAATCTAAATTGTTTGATTGTCTGTCTCTGAATCAAAGGTGTTTTCTCACTCCTTCATTCAACACCTGAGGCAGCACATCTGCAGGTTACATCAGCACATCCTGGATACTCAGGAGACTGGCTGGTGGCTTTGGGTGCCACGATTTTTGGGTGGCCAAGTTGAGACACCTTTAAATGGGCATGATTTTCAGAGGGTGGGTCTCAGCACTTTCTGAAAATCAGGCCCCTATAAGGTGTCTCAGCTTGGGCACTCAAATAGCGAGGCACCCAAACCCACTACTCACTTTTGAAAATCTTGTCCAGGACTTTTGAGTTACATGCCAGTGGATCGTTCTATGGCTGTGGGCAGGTGACTTAAACTTTTGTGCCTCTGTTTGCCCTTCCATAAAAATGAATTTCATTGCTCTCATCTAGTTGCCAAGGGTGGCTGGTTTACTTCACGTGTGTCAGGTGCTTAGAGATTCCCAGATGAAAGGCATGATGTAATATACCGTTTTATAACTATCAACTCAGAGACCGACCCAAATGGGTCGATAGCACCTTTAATTTATTTGTTTTCCTACTTTGACTTTTGAAGGATGATGATTTGGAGACAGATGTGAACAAACTGAGCTCAAAGCCAGGTCTTGACAGGCCAGAGGAGGAGTTTGAGCAGTATGAGGCAATGTGTCCTGAACTTTCCCTTGCTTTCCAGGTAGGATAATATTGTGACTTCCTTTATCTGTGAACGCAGGTAGGGATGTGCAGTACTGGGGATGCTGACTGAGAGGAGGTGGGCAGACGGACGTACTGCAAAGGGGAGCACTGGATGACTCAAGGTATCGGAGGATCCAAAACTTAGATGCACCTGGAGCTTGTTGGGTTGAGTGCAGCCCCAGCTGGTAGTGGGTGAAAGGTGTTAACATCGGAGAGCTGTCTGGTGGCATTTAGCAAAAAGGCTGGGTCTCGATTGATGGGGGCCCAGTGGATAAATAATTAAATACCCACGTGAGAAAAAACCCACATCCACGAATGGAGATTATGTTGTGCCCTTGTTGGCAGGTTCAACAGAGATGCCGAGAACCAAATGGAACACGGAGATTAAAATGGCTTGTCTACCCCAGAGGTGGTCAGTCAAGGTCAGGGTTGGAGCACAGTGATGGGGAAGCGTACACTGTCACTGCTTAAAATGCAGACAGTTCTGGGGTAGATCAAACCAGCCATTTAACAGTTTGGGACAGGAAGTGAAGAAGAATATTGTACTCAGTATTGGAGGCGGAGGAATGCAGGAAGGCAGAATATAATTATTCAGATTTAAACAAGACACCAGGCTTCATGCATCTCCTATCATACAAAATGCTGTGGTATTTGTGATGACTGCAAGTGGCCAGGAACTTGGATTAACACTGCAGTCCTGTATTTAGGAAGGGTGGAACTTTGCTTGGCAGACTGGCCCCATTGCATCATGCTGGAGCATCAGTTCAAAGAGAAGCACATCACTTTGCCTCATGCAATTTCCTGTAATGCTCCAGGTTTTGCTTGGAGGTTACCCACCCAGCAGCTGATCCAGCCTGACCTTGTTTAGCTTCTGGGAGCCGATGAGAGATCGCTTGCAGGAATAGGAATGCTGGCAGGTGGGTTGTGGGTTTCTATCTCTCTGGGTCACTGAGGCGAGCAGACTTTGAGAGGCCTGTAAATTAAATATTTTCCCATTTCTTTCTTCTATTTCCTTCTGGAAGGAGACACCATCTGTCTTTATTTCTTTCCTTTCTTTTATTCTTTAAATCTAAAGGAGCTGGAAACAGGGTCTGAAGATGAGAAGGACTTTGAGGATATGCCTAGGAGCCTGCCAGGCACTCACCCCCGAGTCATTCCGAATGCTGCTTTCATGAAGCAGCAGCATTGCAGACACAGGGACCAAAGTGCCATGGGTCCAGAGCCAGAGGAAACAGCTTTCAAGACTCCAGTGCAGAGCTGGGCAAAGAAGGAGAAATGCACTGGGGCTCCAGCCTTTGAAAATCAAGCAATGGGAGAATCAGTCCGAGATGCAGATACCCTTTGTGAAAGAGAAGATCCATGCAGGAGCCATGCACCCACTCTGCATCCTCCCCTAAAAGAAGCCTCCTGGGACACACAAACATTTCATACTCACTGTGCGAGCTGCTTAGGTCCCAGCCCCATGGGAGGAGTGGGAGCCTCAAACATAGCGACAAAGCTTCTGGAGAGACACCAAGGGGATATCCCATTCCACAGCCCCCACTTCTACATGGCCAGGGCTGGAAGCACCAAGTCCATTCCGGACTACAGAGTCTTGGCGTTCCCTGATTTCTGGGGCCACCAGCCCCCTCCTTATTGCCAGTCCCTGCTGGAGCGGAAATATGGAGTTCAAAGGTGATTCTGCTTTATTGTCATCCCACAGGTAGCTCTCCACAGCTGGGCAAATAGGGACTCACGTCTTGTAGTATTGGGGACTCTCATGTCTTACTGCCTGGCTTTTGATGGGTGTTGATCATCACTTCTGTATCAAGTTTCATTGGTCTCTGCAGTCCTTGCGGAGACCCACACAATGGATTATCACAAGAAGGAAAACTGAGCTATAGGCTTATACTATTCAGATTTTTCTCTTGAGGTTGAAGACACTGGCATCTAAGATGTTCTTGGCACAGATGGGGAGTTAGGAAGCCTAATTCCTGCCTCTTCCAGTGGCCAAGTCATGTCACCTCTCCACTTTCCTTATCTGGAAGGTAAAGGTGAATAAATACTTCTCTGCCTCCCCTGCTAAAGGAATTAAATATTTGTGAAGTGTGTTGGGATCCTCCCATGGAAGGCATTGTGCACCTGGCAATTAGCATTAATGCTCTCACCTCATTTACATTGTTCAACTGAGGAGGATAAATTGTGTGTTGGAGTGTGGGGGGAACTGTGTTGGGAGAGGGGATTCTTCTCAGGGCTACCTTTCCCCTCCTGCCCCATGCGTATCCCTCTGCAATTCCTTTAGAGGGCATTTATTCTTAGTAGCACAAGTAATGCTTACCAGACCCCAAACAGGCTGGGTGATTCTGCTGTCTCTTGAACTAAGCTCTAGGACTGAATGATACTAATAACGTGGCATTTACCAAAGACACAAGTTTCTGAGCTTTTTTGAACGTCTGTGCTCTATAGAGATGGGAACACTTTCCGTAGCAGCTAAATGCCAGGAATCTTATTCACAGAGGCCATCGTTTTCTCACCTATTCCCTGCACTAATGTTCTGAGAGCCCCGCTTTTATGACCATAATGACACACATAACCATAGAGCTAAGACAGGGATAATCGTGTCATGCTTCAGTGTTTATGCTGATTGCTGCAAAGGTCAGGAAGGAAATTTTGAGAACACATATGGCATCGTACAACTGGTCGTTACCGGGGCGGGGGGGGGGGGGGGGAGGGGAGATGGGCTCATTATCCACTGATGGAGGTAGGAGTCTGTAATAGATAGACCAATAGTCTGATCCATTGTGACAAATTCTCCATTGCTAGGTTTACGTGACTCATTCACTGAGACTGAATGAGAAGAAATGGGGATAAATCCTACAAAATGTGAATGACAAGTCATTTAACTCTAAAGGTGTCTTCCAGTCATGACAGACATGCAAAAGCCAAACTGGTGAACTGCATAAAGTGCTAAGGGATATTTTTGTTTAGTTAATACAGGTGTTTAATTCTGCACAGGAATCCCCCTTCTCCCTAACCCCTTGGAAAGAATATCATAAGCCTCAGTTCGCTTCCTCAGCAAGGATCCTCCAAGACAGCGGTATGTGTCTGCAGACAGACTCACAATTTGTTTTTCTTTTCCAGAGCCAAAATATTTGAGGATGTTTCTCGTCTAATCCAGCCAAGTGAGGTGATAGACAGAGTTGTCTTTGATTTAGATGGGCGCAGGTAGGTATTCCTTGTAGTGTACTGTTACTGAGGGCGCTACTGTTACTATCAGTAATAGATTAGGTGACTAGGCCAGCATTTGATTCAATTTAGACAAATGTACAAAACATTAGCCTGGTAGATAGGATCCAGTGTAAGGAACAAGGTTGTGTGACGGGGTGCACCACTCACAGCCAGGATGGCGCCGCCTCATGGCTGTTCTGGGGACTAGCTTTGCGAGGTTGATGCCCCTTCTTTCAGTTGCATGCTGTCTCTCCGCCTCTTTCTCTGGGTCTGCATCAGCTCTTCTCTCGCTCAGTGAGCTGCCGCTGCCTCTTCATGACTCAGCCCTCCAGCCAGGCTACAATATGGATTTTCCCATTCTGGAGTACCAAATCATAGAATATCATAGAATATAAGGGTTGGAAGGGACCCCAGAAGGTCATCTAGTCCAACCCCCTGCTCAAAGCAGGACCAGTCTTCCTTCGGCCATCCTAGGCACCCTAGCCTTCCCATTCACTCCCTCAGTGGCTGGCAGGGGAACCTGGGCTCGCCCTCTACTCTGGGTTCCAGCTCAGGGGCCCTCTAGCCAGCAGTCAAGGTCTGCTCCCTCTTGGACCTTGCTGCCTTTCCCTGAGCCCTTTCCTTACCATCTGGCGCTCCACCTCCCGCAAGGTTTGTCACCATTCCCTCCTCCCAGGGAGCAACTACAAGCTGTGTTTCTGCAGACTCCAAACACTCCTCCCAGGGAATGACAGCAAAGTATTTCTCAGCAACCCCCTCAGCTTCCAATTTCCTGTGTTTATAAATCCCAGCCCAGCTTGTTCCCCCTGGGCTGGGCTCCCTCCCTCAGGGGATTAGTTAGCCACCTGATTCCCCTCAGCTGTCACTTGTTGGGTTAATTAGCCCCCTTTTCTAGTCACAGTAACCTTTTTGGGGCAAGTGTGAGGTAAACACCCCTTCACAAGCTGTCTCTCAGCATGTGGCTCAGGGAAAGGATCTGCAGGCTATTGAGGAAGAGTCCCTGAAACCACCAGCCCAGTGCACAGTGGCAGTAGGAAAAGCAAACCAGATACTGGGTGGTTTTAGCAGAGCAATGGAACCTAAAACTAAAAGGGTGGTACCATGATGCTGTGCAGTAAGGCAGCTGAGACACCCATCTTGGGTACTCTGAACGAGGCTGGGCACCATTTTCTGGCAAATCATTATTGCCCTTGAGAAGAGGCAGCACAGGGCAATGGAGAGGATCTCAAATCTGAAGGAAGTAAATTCTGAGGAAAAAGTTAATGGGTCTGAGATTGTCCTCTTAGGAACACAGGATCAGGAGAGTTTGAGGTGACCTGGTGGAGGTTTGAAGAAGAAGGAGAGAGAATTTTAAGATTGCTCAAGATAATTTTAAAGGCTCCAAAATTTAGGGGGGCATAAGGTAAAAATGGGAGGAGTAAATGGAGAACTTGGGCAGAGCCGCTTCACGCAAAGGATAATAAACCTGTGGAATAAATTAATGGGGAAGGTGATTGGAGCAAAGAACGTAATTGAGATTGAGGAGTGTATGGATCTGTTGCTGGAGATAGGAAAATCAAGATGTGGGAGAAAGTGGGATTCAGAATTACCCCATACAGGCGGGTGCTTTGAGCTGGATGACTGGGCCACAGCTGCTCTCAAATGTCTTCTGTTTGTAAGTCTAAATCTCTATATAAATTATATCGGCGCGGTTACTGCTAGGTAATTTTTGGTAGTAGATATATTTCTGTGTTTTGCTGCAGCCCCTCAAGCACAGATGCTCCAGACTGCCTGAGATTCTACTCTAAATTTGAATCAGGAAACCTTCGCAAAGCCACCCAAGTGCGCAAGTAAGTAGCTTAGATCCCAGCAGTGGCTGTGTCCTATCTTGTCACACTTGTAATGTCTGCTGTGTGAAAAGATGAAGCACTGTGGACTTTAGAACAGTCAGCAAGGGGAGCAGAGCTTATGAGTCAGAGGTATTAGGCAGTGTGAAGTTAAAGGACGTGAGAAACCAAGGCGCGGAGGGAAAGACATGACGCTGTGCTAGGGTAGGACACGAGTGCGATTGCACACTTGGCTAGTATTGGCTTTGATGGCATCCTCTGGCTCCCCCTGCCACTGGTGATCTCAGTGGCACCCGCTCCCATTGTTGCAAGTGGCTGACAGCTGTAGTGTTTGTATGAAGCAACTGCAGCCGTGGGTTCATTACATCCCATCCTGTCATTCTGCCTGGCCCTCGGTGACACCATCTCACACCTTGCTCTCCAGATTTGAGTATGATTTGATTCTGAACAGCGATGTGAACAGTGTCCAGCACCACCAGTGGTTTTACTTCGAGGTCAGTGCCATGAAGCCAGCCGTTCCCTACCGCTTTAACATCATCAACTGCGAGAAGGTCAACAGCCAGTTTAATTACGGTATGAGCCTTTGGGTGGGCTGGAGTTCCCTCCCATGCACAGGGCTACGCTATTGATTCCATGGAGACTTAAACCTTCTTGAGTCTGTTAGAGTCCCATAAGTCATGGGTTACTTACTTAGTCACGGGGTGCCTTCTGAACCATGGAGAAGGGGTGTGAAGCTGGGGGCTTTCAGGGTCTAATACTGTCTTACTCCTCTTCCTTTCTCTCCTTCCCAGCTGCATAATTAATATGGGTTCCATTCCCACCCTCAACTCCTGCTACCAATTTCCTAGCAGCTAAGGTCTCCTATCATCTCATCCTCTACTGCTAGGTCCACCTTCTGAATTAGAGCTGAATGGGGTCGCTCTTTGGTGCACAGCAGCTGCTTTGAAATCAGCAAGAAGGGGCAACTACAAAGCCTCCAAAGGAGTTCTCTCTGTCTCCTTAAGGGCACTTAGGGATGGGAAGAGGGATTTGGAATTGAAGAGCAGGAGTTTGGAGACTGGGATATTTAAAAGTGGGACTGTGGGGGAAAGGAGGAGGATCTATTTGGGCTGAATGAGTGGTGCAGAAGTGGAGAAATCTCATAAGGTTTGAATAAATTTGGCTAATCTTCAAATAAGCATCCACAGTTTAGGAGGCTTATTGAGAAATTAAAATCCACGTCCAGACCTTCTGAGGTTTCTGCCAACATTTAATAATAAGAGATTCTGTCTCTATTTTTAAGCTCCAGTTGCAGTCTGTTGTTCAGGAGGAAGGATGTGATGCCATAAAACAGGCAGGCAAATCAGAGCTTTCAATGCCCATTTTAGAAGAGAAATTGTTTCTTTTACATACAGACTGTGTGTCAAATCCTCAGCTGGCATAGTTTGGCATTAGCACCAACTATTGCTTTCCATGAAGGTATGTTAATTTACACCAGCTGAGGATCTGGCCCAGAATGTTTAATAAGTGCCCAGTGTCAAACACTACTTTCCTCTGTAGCCTTGTGGATGCATCTGCACAAATCAACAAGGGAACTACCTCAGGAGCAGTGTACCCATAACAAATAGCAAAGGGACTTAGGGCAGGTCTATGCTACAGAGTTACTTTGCTATAACTACGTTGCTCAGAGGTGTGAAAAATGCACACCCCTGAGGGACATAGTTATACCGACCTATAATGACCAGAGCTTCTCCCGCTGACAGGAGAGCTTTCCTGTTGGTGTAGAGCATCTTCATTAATGTGCTACAGTGGTGCAGCTGTTCTGAAATAGATCACAAATGAAAATGAATTTGTATTGTCGTGCTATTCCACTTTCCTGAATCACCAAACTGTTCGGCATGATTGGGCAATTCTCTCAATGGCCTGAGAGTGAAGTGCACTGAGGAGGAGTGGCAAAGGGATGTCAGAGACTGATATGGTACCTCTTGAAACCTATAGAGTATCTCTCAATGGTATAGCCTATGGGGTAGCTTCAGTAGGGTAGACTCAGGTCCTTACTGATGGAAAGTTCTCCGGCATCTGCTTCTCTGATCATAGCCAGCACTTATTAGCCCCTCACTTTTATGAGCTTTCAGTGGACAGGAATCAAATTTAAAAATGTGCAATTAAAATTATATTTGGAAGAAAAATGTGAAAATAATATCCTGTGTTAGGAGGCTAGCCCCAGGACCAGCTATTGTGTGGTCTGTGGTCACTGTGTGTGTGATTGACTGTTGGGGAAATTCTTGTCCATTACTTCTGATGCATTGAAGCTCTTAGCTATCTGGGTGGAGTGAGGCCCATAGCATTGTCAGCAGCATGCATGACATTGACTCCTGCATAGGAGAAAATATGCTACTTGCTGCTCCAGGCACTGACCAGTGCTACTATTCACCCCACTGAGCTGGAAGTTTCAAGTCCTGCTCCTGTGCAAAAGTGGCATGGGTGACAATGTGCTATACCATGGGTTGGCTGTGTACTGTGGCTGTCCTTCTGGTCTCCCTGTCAGGTAGATGGTGCTGTGTAATTTTCATATCAGTGAAAGAACATCTCAAGGAGCAGTTGTAGTCAGCAGCAGAGCTGATCAGAAAATGGATTTCTTTCCCCACAGAAAATGTTGAATTTTTGTCAAAAAACTGAACAGCGTGGCTGAAAACTAGACTTTTCCATTGAGAAAACGGAAACAAAATGTTTTGGTTTGTCTAAATGAATTGAAAAGTTTGGATTTGAGGAAGTTTGACATTAGACTGTGTCCTGCTGTGATGCTGTGGTGCTTCATGGGAATTGTAGTTCTGGTACCTCATGTCCTCATTGTCTCTGAAAGGCCAGTCTCCTGGATAGGTATATATCTCCCATGATGCATCATGGCATCCCCTCCATTACCTGGTCCATGCAGAAGCACTGTATGGATACACATAGGTGTTGGAACTAGGGGTGCTGGGGGTGCTGCTGCACCCCCTGGCTTGAGGTGGTTTCCATTATATCCAGGGTTTACCATTTGGTTCAATGGCTCTCAGCACCCCCACTATAAAAATAGTTCCCGCTCCCATGTGGACACATGAAGCAAAAATTGAAAGGTTAATCCGAGATATGATTGAGTTTGTATTTGAAGTTTCTTTCCATGTTACCTTCCTGTTGAGGTACGGGACAATCCTGTGTATGCTCAGAGATGTACTCCACGGCTGTTTAAGTGCTGATGAGTTACACCAAAGAAATCCAAAGTGAGGAGGCAAAATGCTGTGGTGATATAACCCATTTTTTGTGTGACACAAATAAACCCCCAGCATTAATGACACCAAGGAGTATCATATAATCTTAGATATTAACACACATAGGCATCGTGGGCTGGATGTAATAAGCAGCCTAGAGAAAGGCAGTAAATTGGACTGGATGAAGGAGACAAAGGCAGCAGGAAGAGAGGAAGGGAAAGAAATGGATGGGGAAGGCACTATGGAGATTGTCAAAGATGAGGACAAGAAGCTTGCCCTAAGTGTGGAAGGGGGGACCCACGTAGAGCAAAGGAATTATATACAAAAATCTTTCCGCAAAGGAGCTGGACTCATGCAACTATGGATAATGTTTGCATAGTTTCTTTTCAGGGCATAAGGTGATAATGTGGTGCAGGTCAGGAAGAAGTTGCCCCCCATGGTATCATACAGCCCAATGAGGGATATTATTGTTACAAGCATTTTTAGGGCACCCAGCTCTGTATGTTCTTACGGGAGGTTTAATACCTTTGTATGAAGCATCCAATATTAGTTGAGGTTAGCAAAAAGTATTGGACTAGATCAGGGATTGGCAACCTTTTGCACATGGCCAAGCAGGAAAAGCCACTGGCAGGCCGGGACTGTTTGTTTACCTACAGCATCCACAAGTTTGGCCGATCACAGCTCCCATTGCCTGTGGTTCACCGTTCCAGGCCAATGGGGGGCTGCAGGAAGCGGTGCGGGCTGAGGGATGTGCTAGCTGCCGCTTCCTGCAGCCCCCATTGGCCTAGAATAGTGAACTGTAGCCAGTGGGAGCTGCAATCTGCCGAACCTGTGGATGCGGTAGGTAAACAAACCGTCACGGCCCACCAGCGGCTTTCCCTGATGGGCCGTGTGCCAAAGGTTGCCAATCCCTGGACTAGATGCACGGTCCATTGGTTGCTTCCATTATGGCAGGAGGTGGGTTTCCAGATGATTAGATTGACTATTGATGTATTCCAGTGGGACAGAGGACAGGATACTTGTCTAACCAGGCCATTGGTCTGTCCAGTGTACTGATTCTTATGTTCTTCTTTTCGTCCTCTTTCCCTTCCTCAGTCCCTGCATAAGCAGAGTTGCTTGGAATCTCACGCCTTGGAAAAGCCAGTGGAGCTGATGCATTTTCTACTCATTTCCTGGTAGCTGGCTTCCTCTCTCCATAGTTTTCTATAGAGAGTTGGCTGCTCTGAAATCAAGTATGGGATGGGGGAAAAGTGTATTTGCTTTTGGTAAAAGAGCTGCAAAGAGCATGCACACTCATGCAAAGGAAGTCATGTCACCTGAAACTGCTTTTGTTTTATGTAGGCATGCAGCCGGTCATGTATTCGGTGAAGGAAGCTCTCCAAGGCAAGCCTCACTGGATTCGGGTGGGCTCTGATATCTGTTACTACAAGTAAGTGTTTCATTGGTGCATTCCTTTTGGCTTCCCTTCACCTCCTGCTAACCGTATTCATGTCATTAACCTTCAACTGCCAGTGCCCTGTTTCTCTCACACAATAAATTTATGCCAGCCTGCTACGTTCTGCACTTCTGACAGCAGGGATTGAATGTGAGCGAGACCCTGTTATTTGGCATGCAGGGGAGAGAGAGGGTACATGCAGAATTCTCTCTTCTGGAGTATAGTGGGAGTGGAGAAGGGAGGAGGGGTGATAACATGAAGCCCTCTTCGTGTGTACACAGAAGCACAAAGGAGTGGTGCCCACATAGTTTAAAGGTCCTGCTCCAGTGATTGGCAGAGAGATGGATTGGGCAGCCTACCTGTTTTTCTTTTCCATCCCCAACTCGTATCATTGGTGCGCCAAATTGAATGCAGCCCACAAAGGGTTAACAGAGTTTTAGTCACCCATTCTCCTTGCCAAAGGGTGAGCTGTGATTTCAGATAAATTCATCTGGGTGTTTTGGAGTGGTGGTCGGCACAGAGGGCAGAGTGCCCTGCTCTGCTTCTCCCATCACTGCCACATTTTCTCCAGAAATGAATGTACTGTAGGGATGAAACTCAGTCCTGTCTTGGGCAAGTACAGACCCTTTCTAAATCTGCACGAGTTGTGCCTGCTAATCCTGATTCTAGCGACCACCCGGTGCTGTGTTGGCATGAGAGGGAAATTAGTTTTCCCAGAATAGGATGACACATGAAGTGATCCCAAAGGCACACAGTGAAGGCCTGAGCAGGGAGCGGCTTTGCTCGCTTAACCTACGAATTTGGAGTTCTACCTGAAGGTGGCAGACACGTCTGCACCTTGAGCCATGCTCACTGGGTCTGTGGCATTGCCTTTACACTCTGCTTCACTGGTAGAAAAAACAGGGCCAAGGATCAGAGAAAGTAGGCACTAGATTACAACAGGTAAGCCAAGGACCTACCGGCCTTGAAGACAGGTACTCCTGTGAAGATCCAGCCTTTAGAGCAGGGGTGGGCAAACCTTTTGGCCTGAGGGCCTCATCGGGTTTCTGATATTGTATGAAGGGTCGGTTAGGGGAGGCTGTGCCTCCCCAAACAGCCAGGCATGGCCCGGCCCCCATGCCCTATCTGACCCCCCTGCTTCTCGCCCCCTGATGGCACGCCCGGACTCCTGCCCCATCCAACCCACCCTGTTCTCTGATGGCCCCCAGGGACCCCTTCCCCATCCACCCCCCCGCTCTCTGTCCCCTGACTGCCCCCAGGCCCCCCGCTCCCAAGTGCCCCCCGCTGCCCCATCCAACCCCCACTCTCCTTCATGACTGCCCCCCCCCCCCCGAACTCCTGCCCCGTGCAACCACCCCTTCTCCCTGTCCCCTGACCGTCCCCGGAAGCCCTGCCCCTGACTGCCCCCCCGCTCCCCCATCCAATCCCCTCCCATCCTTCCTGACTGCCCCCCGGGATCCCTGCCCCTATTCAACCCCCCTGTTCCCCGCCCTCTGACCGCCCCACCCCCTAGCCATACCCCTGGCCCCTGACCACCACCGCAAACTCCCCTGCCCTCTCTCCAACCCCCCCTGCTCCCTGCCCCCTTACCGTGCTGCCTGGAGCACCAGTGGCTGGCAGCGTGGCTGCACTAGGACAGGCAGCCTTACTGCACAGCACAGAGCACCTGGTCGGGCCGGGCTCTGCACCCTGCGCTGCCCCAGAAGCTCGCAGCCCCGCTGCCCAGAGCATTACGCTGGTGGCACAGTGAGCTGAGGCTGTGGGGGAGAGGGACAGCGGAGGAGGGGCCGGGGGCCAGCCTCCTGGGCCAGGAGCTCAGGGACCAGGCAGGATGGTCCCGCGGGCCACAGTTTGCCCACCTCTGCTTTAGAGAGTCTCCAGATGGAGTAGACTAAAGGTGTAATGAGGGCTGCACTGGCATCCAGCACATATGAGGTGACTATGCAAGAAAGAAGTTATCTGAAGGCTCAGGAGACACTTAATGAGCGAGCAGACACAAAATCTAGATAGAACCTACAGAGAGAGAGAGTCACAGAATAGAGAGACAGAGAACCATCCAGAGGCCAACCCCACAGGAAGGAAGGAGACTCCACAGAGAGATGGTTCTCTAGAGAGGGAGACAGAGATAGGTTACTCCCTTTGTGGTCATCCGTTGAGGAGACTAAATGTTCTTAAAGACTATGTAACCGGCTGAGTCTGTGGTAAAGATAAGATTCCAACTCTGCTATGGGCTAGCAACCTAGGGTTGCCAACCCTCCAGGATTGTCCCGGGGTCTCCAGGAATTAAAGATTAAACTTGAATTAAAGATCATGTCATGTGATGAAACCCCCAGGAGTACGTCCAACCGAAACTGGCAACCCTATAGCAACCTCTGGACAAAGGGACATGGGGTGGGGGTTGGGGCATCAGTTATTGGTTTTAATGTTTATATTAAAATGTTTGTAAAATAGGGAAGATGTATCATGATCAGTGGAACTGGAGGAAGAGGGCTCATGTTCCCTGGAGGGACTTTTTATTGATTGGAAACCAGGAATGCATGGAGTTAGGCTGGAAGGAATTCAGGCACATGGTCAGAGCAGTGCACGGGATTTAATTAAGTTCCACTTGTTCAGATTAGCCTGTATTCCATTTCACTCCCTTTAATGGACCACATGTGTCACAGTAAAGGGCAGTCTCATCCCCACATGGTCATGCGGTTTAGGGGCTTGTGGAACCCTAAGTAGACTGAATGCATTTCTCCTTGCAAAATAAACTGGGTTTTGTTTTGCTTTTTGCTAGTGTTTGTACATTTGGCCTAGAAGGTTAAACAACATTGTTCTCACTTGCATGCATGACATCACAGTCAATCCAAACATTGCTGGGTGCATTTAGTGCGATGTTACAGCCTTGCAGGAGAAACAAAGAGAAACTTATGTCAGGACAAGAATAAAAAAACCTTCCAGTTCCCTGTGAAAACAAGCGCAAACTCCCTGAATAAAGCTTGCTTGAGGGTCAAGGGTCCTGGTTTTCTTGCCTCTAATGAGTGCCTTGTCAGTAACAGCTCAAATAACCATTTACCTTGCCCAAATAATGCCCCCGCACTCATCTTTGTCCAGCTCAGGACTGACTCTAGGCACCAGCAAAGCAAGCATGTGCTTGGGGTGACACATTTCCAGGGGCGGCGTTCCGGTCATCCTTTTTTTCCAGGGTAGTTGCGCTCTCGGAGCTGTGCCACTTAGACTGGGTGAGGGCGCCGCACCCCTGGCCACAGCGGGAAGGGGAAGCCCCAGCCCCGGGATGCTGAGCTGCCAAGGCCCAGCCACAACCTGGGGAGGAGAGGGCGAGTCCTGACGGGGAGCTGGGGCTGCAATGCCTCATCTGCGCTCTGGCTGCTGCGCTGCCTTGTGCCACCCCTTATATCAGGGTTTCTCTGCGCGGCCGGGCAGGGGAGGGGGTAAAGCCCCTGCAGGCGCTGGGAGAAGGGGACATCACTCCCTCTGCTTCCAGTGCCGCCTGCGAGCCCCAGCCCCACCTGAGCTTGGGGCAGCAAAAAACCTAGAGCCGGCCCTGGTCCCGCTAACCTCTACTCTTCCTGAGACTATCCCTTCAGCTCAGCTCAGAAGCTTATGTGCTAGTTGGACAGCTGGCCCCTACGTACCTTCATTTTTATTGGTAATCGTGTTTTCTATGGTAGTGACTAACGGCCAACCAAGAGTGGGGCCCCATTGTACTAGATGCTGCACGAGGCCTGTAGCCTTTGGCTTCTGTGCATGGGCTCATGGGTGCAGGCAGAATAGGCACCAGCAGATGCAGAACATATAATGGTTATAGGACAGGTTTCAGAGTAATAGCCGTGTTAGTCTGTATCCGCAAAAAGAAAAGGAGGACTTGTGGCACCTTAGAGACTAACCAATTTATTTGAGCATAAGCTTTTGTGAGCTACAGCTCACTTCATCGGATCATCATGCATCTGATGAAGTGAGCTGTAGCTCACGAAAGCTTATGCTCAGATAAATTGGTTAGTCTCTAAGGTGCCACAAGTCCTCCTTTTCTTTTAATGGTTATATGCTGATTCCGATATAATGGCTCCTAACGTCATGAGCAAGGCAGTTACGGTGTGGTGATTCAATAGTAGCTGACTGGTAAATTTAAGCCATGAATGTGCAATTAAATTCTTAATCATATACTGGGCCAGGATACGGTTGAGACATTAGCATAGGATTGTTTTGTTGTGGAGTATGCGGTGTCTTTCAATTGTACATCCAGTTATGTGTCAATATATTTTTATATTGCCATCTATCAATCTGTGGTTCTTTCTAGGTTAACACACACCTCTCGTTCTCTCACCAATGACAGAGCAACTCCCCAGTCATTGGAGTGTATAGTGTACCAGTCTGTAGGCAGCAAATAGTTACATCTAGGAGCAATCAGAGTCTGTGGCTCCCCAGGCCGGTTGAAGATGGGAGCACTATGAAGACAGCATGCTCAGTGTGTTTTGGTGGAAGAGCCCTGTATCCTCCCGCAACGCTCTGCTGAGGCTGATAATGGGTTCTGGAGGAAGCCTCATCCAACTCTCCTTGCCTGGAGGAAGGTTAGCTGTGACCCCAGACCTTGAATGCATAAGTAAGGGGAAACACAGAGATGTTAACATGTCCACTCACCCACAAATTCCCATCATTTCTCATTTTCCACAGCTCAGATCTAAAGCAGCCTCTGAGCTGAAGGACAGCGGGAGGAGAGGCGCATACATGGGTTGTCTGTGTAATACATGCTGGCCGATCTCTCCTGACATTCATCTTCACTGGTGAGGGGAGATGGGAGAGCTCAGTCATGAAGATGAATGTCATAGCACTGCTCTGCCATTATATACCTTTCCCATACATCTCTTGAGAGAGATTTTATGTTATGGAGAATATTAGCAGCTCAGCTGTCAAAAGGAATCTCCGTGACATGGCTGCTCTGTTTTATTGCTTCCCTGTGTGAAGTGCCAGGGTACACCCATGATAAATAGTCACAGTTATTATAAGATTGTCTAATTCACTTGTCTTCTTGGCAGCTGTTTATGTTAAAACACAAAGTAATATTCCTTTCCAGCAGATTATTTAAGGAAAATGTCAGCATACTGAATTGGTGAGAATGCACTTGGGCATTCAGTTCCAGAGTTTGTTTTCAGCTCTTTGTCTAAATCGCAACTTTTCTGGGCGTTGGATGCCTCAGAGGATTGGTAATGGGCTATGAAGCGGTTTGTATCTAGCCCACCAGTTGGAATCCTGCCCGGGTCACTAATGACTTATTCATTCCCATCTGATAGGTGTTTTGGGGGCCTTTGTGATATCAGAGAGAGGGTTTCACCTGTCTTTCCAGGGGCCTTGTGTTCACACTATAAAAGTTGCCATCACAGTCAGTGCTACTGGGTCTTGTTAGTTTCCAGGAGAGAAGTCAATGCTTAAATATTCCATGGAATGGCATCTTCCCTTTCAGCCCTAAGGGTGGTCTTGGCTAGCCAGAGTTAAGACATTGATGCGGTAGTAAGTGGGCATGGGTCCTACTAGCAGTTTGACCACAAGAATGGTCTATTTCAGTCACTAGGGGGGCACTGCTTCTTTCAACAGATTCTGAGAAGAGACTCAAAAATGAGAACACCCACAGAGGGTCTGGTCCTTGGAAAGGGAACTCCACTGCATTGGGTTCAGTCCAGCCGCCATTTACCAGACCCAATAATACCAACCATCTCCTGATATTTGGTTTTTGTTACTGTTTTTTCCACCATACCCTCCCCATATAGACTCAGGCAACCTCCGTTTCCTGCGTTTGCTGAAAGAGTGTGTGTCACATACACCTACCACACTGGAAGCCTAAGAATAGGTCCATGGGGGAGAAAAACAAGGTCAGATTTCAATAGGGTTAAAAGGTAGCAGGACAAAGGGGGTCCTTTGGGGAGGGACAGAGTAGAGAAAGGGTAAATATTTCATCTTTATATTAGGCCCCATTTCCAGTGGGCCTAAAGTTATGGTATATATGCATTTTCCTCTGCTACTTGAGTCTAAGCTGATATTCCATATTCCATTTATCACTTTTCCCAGTGCCAGCAATGCTGTTGGTCAGATGCTGCAAGTGGTTGAGGGAGTCAAAAGGCTTTGAGTGAGTCACGCTGCTGCCTGGCTTGGAGCCTTTGAACTCCTGAGTTCTTATTTCAACTCTGCTACTGACTCACTCTGGGGCTTTGGGCAAGTCTCTTCACTTCTCTGTCTCAGTTCCTTCTTGTAAAATGGGGATAATTATACTGATTTATTGACCTCGTAGGTTCCCAAGGAATGTTAGCCGATAAGGAGTTTGTGAGGTTTTATTAACTAATGTTGGCAAAGGGCTTTGAACATGACAAGTGCTTTACACAGTAAGTGATAAGTATTATTATAATTGTTAATTAACTTGCAGTAGCTGCTGTTAGAGGTAAACTGCCTGGTACACAGTATATTTGAAGGACAGCAGCAAGCGTTATGATTTGACTATTATAAAGTGACTCAAAGGCACAGCAGATGTAGCTTTCATGCTGATAAAGCCATCACTGGGTCTTGCATATCCTTTCTAAGAACCGGTTGGTTAGCTTCTGGAAAGAGTGCAGAGCTTTGGGCACATTTTGGGAAGAGAGGATAAATGAGGTAGCAGGGACCAGAGCAGAGGTTGCTGTGCGTGAATGTGTGATCTTTTCCACCTCTGGGAATCAGACAGATCAAATGTGAAAATATATTTAGTGGACTTGTCACGTGACCCATCCTAATATCACTTCACATTTGGGCATCATTTAGGAAGATTATTATTTATTGTTTGTATCCTAGCAGTGTTCAGGATTGTGCTGGGTGCTAGACAATTATACGGAGAAAGACAGTTCTAACCCCGAAGTATTTACAAGCTAAATAAGGCCAGGACATAACAGGTGGATGTGCAGGAGGTCATGACTATCAGTAATAGGAACACAGGGATGTATCAGCTAGCTACATGTGTAGGTTACTTTTTTTATGAATCAGTAATGATGAATAAAACCCCCGGGGGTCACTAGCCCTGTAGACTTGCCATTATAACTAAGTTGTTTGCTGTGGGCATTGCAGTAGAGATGAGTTTTGAGAAGTGATTTGAAAGAGGTCAGAACTGGAATAGCTGAATGCCAGGATTGCACTAGTGTCAGAGCTGTGCGGTGGTGATGGACTAATATGATACAAAAGGATGTTTTGGTCAGGACTGAGCTGCATTGGGAGCTGGTAGAGGGGAAACTCAGGACTGGAGCATTAGGTTCAGACTGGAAATTCATTGGCAGAACTGTAAGACAGAATACTGGATAGCAACCACCTGCCACACCCATCTCACCTCTCACCAGTGACCTGTGGGGGATGTCTGAGGACTGTCTCAGAAAATCTCAGGGCTTGTGACAGCATCTTGAGTCTGAGGTTATTGTGACCCTGAAAGTAAAAATGAATAGAATAGAGATCTGGAGGATATGTCCCAGCCACATAAATCACACAAGAGACGGCTCCTGACCGCCCCCCCCCCCGCCCGACCCCATTATCCAGATTCACCAGAAGAGAAGGTGATATGTTGTTGTCTTGATTTTTAAGAAAATGGGGATGAAATCCTGGCCCCACTGAAATCAAATCCACTGACTTGGAACTGAGTCAGGATTTCACTCTAATATTTAAAATGATGTATTACCTGTTTTTTGTTTGCAAATAGCAGAGAGAAACATCTGGGCGTCAGCTGAGCATTAAATCATTGCCTTTTCACTGTGCCATGGAGGCAGGAATGCTGCCTGTGTGATTCCTTGCTCCAGCCAGTGCCATTCACCTCACGTGTTCATAACCACTAAATTCATATGCTTTGAAAAGAAATGTGCTCTTGTGCTGTATGTTTCTTGTGACGAAGAGCTGATTATTCTGGAGGATTTGAGAAAAATAATTATCTCCTCTCTTCACCCCTTTGAATAAAAAACAACAGAAAAATAAACTGGCATTGTAAATTTCAGGAGCTGAAATTGCATCTTTTGGTCTCCTCCAGTATTTTGCATTTTAATGCAACATTATGATAACATTTGTCAAAAAGCCTCACAGTCCTTCAAAATCAGAAGGTTTGGCAACAGCATAATTGGTGCAATGTGGGAAAAATATTGTTTGAAATATACTTCTGGGTGCAATTTGCCATGATATTTCTCTCTAAAGTGCATGAATTGGCTCTTCATCTGTGCTGCAGGAAAATGTTCCTTCTCATCCAGAAGCCACAACTTTAATTATTAGAGTTAATCCCCTGCATGGGAGGTTGTGCTGAATATGTGAAGGGAGATTTGTGGAATCTTGAAGACTTGGGTGCTCTTGTTACTGAAAGGGAGGGATCTGGTGGGGGTGATTTGGCTGGCCCATGAGATGCAAGTCTGTATGAGGTCATCTCCGCTTCCAGGTGTTGACTCCTCTCAATCCCAGCTCCCTTCTCTGCTCAATCCGAAGTTGTGCCTTTGATGGTGTATGGAATATTTTGCCCATGTCCCTTCACCTCACTTTCCCCCTATCCTTTTATATGCTGTTCCAGTTCCGCCTTTCTTACAGTGCACGGACTGGACCCTAACCCCAAAAATTTCTATTCCTCCAAAATCTTCAAGTATTCTTAGACAGCCTCTTCCCATCCACCCATCCCCTGCTGGCTCCACCTCCCCACACTAGATGAACTGTTATCTTCCCACAAGGTAGCCCAGCCCCGGAGGCACAGGACTGGCAGGGGCAAACTATGCCCAGTGCTGCCACCAGCCGCTCTGCCTCTGACTCACTGCTCCCCCCTGTTCTGCTTTGACCATTGAATTCCAAGTAACTTGCTTGAGTCCAGCTGTGCATTCTGGCACTAACCCTCTCAGCCTACCTGCTGTAACATGGGCCTTAGCTGTATGGTGGAGACTGTTCAGTGGCACTGTGTTGCAAGCTGCATTCGGTCTGTCACAGAGCTGGGTCAGCTGCATCTGAATTTGGCCCTCTTAGAGTTTGCACCATGCACGGTTGAGGTTGGAGCTCTGCCCCAGCTCATTCGGGACGGAGACTTCTCCGATGGTTCAGTTCTTGCACAAGCACACAAGATGAGGACCCAAAAGCTGATTGCAATCTATTCCCCCTCTTTCTCTTCCTCTAGAAACCATTACCGCCGTAGGGCAGCCACAGCGGGAGGCGCACGAGGGAAATCCTACTACACGCTCACCTTCACCGTCACGTTCCCGCACGGGGAGGATGTCTGCTACCTGGCCTACCATTACCCCTACACTTACTCTGCACTGATGGTAATGTTGGCCTGTCCCAGGAAGAGACTGATGGGAAGAAGGGCGGGGAGCTGTCTTGATTATGAGTAGTATTTGATATGTCACATATGCTGCCATTTGTAGCGCTGCTCACAGGATGCTAGCTATTTTTCAGGTTTCAGAGTAGCAGCCGTGTTAGTCTGTATCCGCAAAAAGAAAAGGAGGACTTGTGGCACCTTAGAGACTAACACATTTATTTGAGCATAAGCTTTTGTGAGCTACAGCCTGTAGCTTGTGCTCAAATAAATTGGTTAGTCTCTAAGGTGCCACAAGTCCTCCTTTTCTTTTAGCTATTTTTCATAATGCTTTCATTGCCTTGTCTACAATGGTCCCTGACCTCTCTGGAGGTCAGGAAGGAGTTGAAGGATAGCCATGAGCGTGAACTGCATGGAGCAGGCTGCGATTAAAGGCCAATATTTTTTTTAGTATTTACCAGCCACCCCAGACATGTCCAGCATCCCATCCTTAGAGTGCAGGCTGCTCTGGGCTAATGGCAAACTAGGAGGAAAAGACTGACTGCTTCTCCTATGTGGCTAATCCTTTTCGGCCATCATGTAACGACTTGCTATTTTCAGAGCTGCACCATGCAATGCTGAGGTGGAGGGCCTGTTTCAGATTTACTCTGTCAGCTGTCACTCTGCTCCAGTTAGACGCTCCCAGCTGGAAAAACAAACCAACCCAAAGCATAAGGCTTTACTGTCCCAAAGCTATGTTGAAATGGATGTTAATGTTCCTCTGGGGCAGGAGAGATTCACTCATGTGGCTCCCTAGAGCCCTTCATCGGCCAGCTGGTGAATGGTGTTGGGAGGTCTGGGGAAAGCTGTATCCAGCTCACCTTTTGAACCGTACTGGTGGGGGAGCCCTGGGTGAGGCTTCTAAAGAAGGGAAAAATAAAGGGGGAAAATGGAGGATCCCAGGCAGCACATCACTTCCTCATTAAGCACGAGAGAGAAACCTTTCCAAAAGTGAAAATACCGGGTGTTCAGGCTGCCTCTGCCCCCCTTTTCTCAGCCCCCTTTAATTGTCTTGCCATTAATGCCTTCTACCCAATCCCTGTTGCTATGGGCAATTGATGGATGGACAAAGCTATTTTGGGCCCCTTGCTGACTATTTCTAAAGCTCAAACCTTATTAAATGTACCATTTTGCCCTTGCACAAGAATGGAGGAGAACATCAAGGAGAACAAAACCTCTTTTCTTATGTAACACAAGCCATGTCACTGTGTGTGACTAGCCCAGCATGGTAATGTTAGGTAATGTTAGTCCATGTTAGGTTCATTCCCATTCCAAACCACAACACATTAGTTGACTGCTTCTCATCCCACTACAGATGTTCAGAAAAGCTGGATTCAGTACCTGAGATCCCTCAGGTCAAGCCCTGGCTGTCCAAAACATGCGTGCAAGCCAATCTGCACCAGGCCCATGGGACCCAGTTACTTCCATGAGCTAACGTGGAACGCAGAGAGAGCTCCAGAAGTTGTATGTGGCATATACTTAAGCAGTTAATGCAAAGGCAGGTGTGTGCTGCAGCCAGCAGGAGAGTAAGGGACTGGGAGACCGAGGGATGTGAGGCCTACTGAATTCTTTATTACTGAAGTACTGTACCTAGTCATGATTTCAGTATGTATTGATTCCTTCTGTTGGTATGCAGGCATGCAAGGCTTTGAGAGTTTGTACCCTGTGGGAATCCCTGAGTATCTCACCTGGATGAATAGAATCCAAATGAAAGGATGTTGTTATTCTTAGATTCACAGGGCTAAATCCTGAAGTACTTACTCATTCCTTCCTCATGCTTACTCAGGTAAAATGCTCCTTGAAATCGATGAGAATTTTGCCTCAGCAAGGATTGAATGAATTAAAACTGAGTGAAGGACATCAGGGTTTGGACAGTGAGTGTTAGAGGTGGAAAAGAGCTGATAATTAAGTCCAGATGGTGGCCAAAGTAGGATTACTGCCTGCAATATATTCTCCAGAGAAACTTTGACCAGGCTAATTTAAAATGACGTTAGTGATGGGACTTGCACATTTCCCTTTGGAAGATTATTATACTACTGTAATTTGCATGACGAACAAATTCTAACTCAGGTCGGTGCACCAGTAGGTTTTATTTTAGAGCATGTGTCTGTGGGTGAAATATGTCTTTTCCTACAGACAAGTAATAAAGTAAATGTGATTAGTAATCCAAGGTCATTTGGGAAGATGATAAACTTTTATGTGGAGTTAGTGATTTGAGAACATTTCTAATAATATCATATATTTTTAATAATTGCAGACATATTTACAGCATATATACAGAGGAATTTATTTTCAATGGATACACTCACTAGTGCATTGCTTTTTGACCACTACTAATCAAGTGTACTTGATGAGTAATTCATCTGATGAAGTGAGCTGTAGCTCACGAAAGCTCATGCTCAAATAAATTGGTTAGTCTCTAAGGTGCCACAAGTACTCCTTTTCATTTTTTAAAAATTGCTTTGTTAAATGTTTGCATGTGAAGCTATAATGCAACAGTCTGTTGTGTGTTATCTATGGTAGCAATGGTTCCACTAAGTTGCACTGGTCACCATAGCATATAAGAAATTGATTTAACAAATCCTTTATATCTGTGCAAGATAATTAAATAGGTATAATAATTGCATTTTTACTCTATACAGTAAATTGGTTTATGAAGTAGATCATCATAGGTATCCAACTGTATTTGTTCAACTAGACACTGGATGATTGGGGTGGAATCAACAGATTGATCTAAGGCCTGGTGATAAGATTTGGAGTCTTTTGTCTCTAGGTCACTGGCTGAAATTTAGCCCAGGTTGGTAGAAAGTTGTTACCATCTGGTGGCTGCTGGGTGTCCTGTGTGAACTGAGTTGATGGGTTTTAGCCACGTTCCTGGTGGGACAGGTGTCCATATTGTAATGAACCTATTAGGGCATTGACAACAAACATCTTGAGGGAGGTAGTTCTGGCTGACAAAAGAATAGGGTAAAGGAGTGGGTAATAACAGAGGAAATGACCACCCAGATTGTAAGGTGAGGGCACAGTTTAAATGCCTGAGACTGAAATATAATGAGTTTTCAAACAGTATGAGCTCATTTGTAAAGCTGGTACCTTGCTTCTTCTCAGTCCCACCTTGACATCCTGGAAGAAACCAGGAACCCCAAGAAGGTCTACTACAGACAGCAGACACTGTGCCAGACTCTGGGAGGAAACCCATGCCCACTGCTCACCATCACTGCTATGCCAGAGTCTAAAAGTAGTGATGACCTGGAGCAGTTCCGTAAGTACCTACCTAAGATACGCAACTAAGGTATTGGCTACTTGTGGGCCTCATAGATTATATGGCACTTTTCATAAGAAAAAGGGATGTAAACCGCGCTTCCCTTGGCCAAATTCCAACTCGTCATTCCATTCTGTCTCCACAGATGCTCACCTTAGATTCAGCTGGATACAGCGTTTGTCCTCACTTTCACTGTTAACCCACGGAGTAGTGTTTGCATGCTTCGTGCTATTAAATATTTAAGCTGCTATGTTGCGCCACAGAGGTGGCTGCAGTGGGTGAAAGAATTCCCGTGTAAGATTTGTGAACTTCATAAATGGCTTTGGGATCTTTTGGGGAGGCAATGTGTAATGGAAATGTACATCTTTATATCACTGAGATATCCAGCAATACAATTCTATGGAGGTTTTGGTTTCTGAATTTGAACCCTATCAGCTGTCTGCAGTAGTATATGTGTGGGAATCCCACTGACATCAACACTAGATCCGTACATAAAGGGAGCACAGAAATATTAGCGTCGAGTACTACCATGTGGATTGGAGAAGAGAATTTTGCCTTTCTGCTTTCTTCCCTTTCTAGGGCTGGTGAAAGTTATGGGTTCCATTTTGGTTCCAGTTTATAACAGAGTGACTGTTATTATTGCTTTGGTTCAGTCAATTAGCCACGACCCCGTATGAGTCAGGTATTTATTTGGCGCAATCCGATTTATTTGCAGGGAAGGAACATGAAGTCCTGTTTCCCTGAACATAGTAGAAACACACAGCAGTCAGTTTCCTTGATCACAATTTCCAAGCCTGCCTTTATAGCCAGTCCTGGTCCCCAGGCAACTCTGTCCCTCAGCTCCCTCTCTCGACTATGCCCATGACTTCTTCTCTTGTTTTCTGCCACTCTCACACACAGATGTACACAGCTTGTCAATCTCATAGTCCCTGCATTTGCAATCAGCCTCAGGGAAACCCCTCCAACCATACAGTTTACCTCTGCTCATGCTTTCCCATGTGGCCTCATGCGTTGGGTGGTGGCTTCCTGTTGTGTCAAGTTATTGCCACATAAAGGAGTATTTAATTGTAGCTTCCATTTAGCCTGAATGAAGGGTGATCTAGCACAGATGTGTGATTGTCTACAGCTGAAGGACATGCATGATGGTGGCCATTAACACCTTCCAGTGTCACAACATTGCAAAAATGTCAAACCAAACAGTTCTGATTTTTTTCTGAATTTTTGTTTTGTTTTTCCCCCCCAAAATTAACAATCTGATGAAATTGACATACATTCACGAAGCATTTCAGTATCATCATTTTCCACTGCAAAAATTTTGGCAGAAAAATCTCACCCAACTCTAGTAATGAACTACTTGAACTGTCAAAATAGTATCCTCTGAACTCATTTGGAAGCTGTTTGGGGCAGGGATGGTGGGCGCAAGACTGAGTCATTTTTTTTGTATGTCATGGGCACATATAGCACGCTGTATGAATGACAATAAAGACAGTATTATGTGATAGAAAATATTTGTTTTATCTAATGAAAGAGCAGAAAAACACCATACTGTGTTTTGTGCCATGGGCTGCCTCCAGACAAGCCTGAATTATCATGTATTTGTTTATTTCGTTTAAGCAGCTTGGTTAATAATGGCTTGGGGAGGCACTGAGCTTAAGTTTTGCTGCTTTGCGTTGCTTTGGTCAGCAGTTGTTCCTCAGTCTACTTGGCTTGTGTGAGAAGCCCTCCCTACTCTGAAGTAGTTTGGCTGATGCTAAAAATCCAATATTTTCCACTATTTTGCCATGCTAGTAACCCAGCCCAACAAAAGCAAATGCATAAAGAGCTGAATCCTGCAAGACCCAGGGGAGAAGACTTCATGGGAATGACTTCCATTGCTTGGTGCAGACTCTGCAAACATACGTTCTGGCTCAGGAGGTGATGTGGAGCTGCATCCTGGGAGGAGTCAACCCAGGGAGGAATGACTAGAAGTTGTTGATGGCCTTTGGTCTTTTCTTTTCCTTTCTAGGGCTCTGGGCTATTCATGTCTCCAAGAAGCCTTAGTGGTTTTGCTTGCCTTTCAAATTTTTGTTTTCTCCTTATATATTTTTTTTTCCTGAGAGATTTTTCAACAACATAGATCACATACAGTTTTTCAGAGCTGTGTAATTGTTGGGCATGATCTTGCTTTAATACCCTATAAGCCTTCTCTGTTTTCTTTATTAGAGACACAGGGGGTGGGGAAGAAAGAGATTGCTTCACAAGTGTGCACTGGACAAACATAGCAGGGTGCTAGGAGGGATAGGACCATCTGTATGGAAGGATAGATTTGGTGGGGAGGAGTTACACTGAACACAAGGAATACTGGTGTGTAGGCGGGGGTGAGGCAGGGAGATACAGAAAATCAGTGCATGACACCCCTCTGTGTTAGCTATACTTTATTTTCCTTTCTCAGCTCTTTAGATCGGTCTTGTCAGGCTTTTGATTAATGTGGTCCAAGGATGGTTACATTTGTCTGAGTTAAATTTATTAATGTGCAGCTTGTTAATGAGAAGCACAAGCCATGCATGTTCCCAGAAGTCGCATATTCACAGCATGTTGAAGGAAAAGGGAGTTGTGGGTTTTTGTTTAAAACCAGGTCTTCTCCCTCCTGCTCAAATTATGAGGGCCCCAACGCTCATTTCAGCACAGTTACCTTTGTCCTCTCCCCTCCACCTCCCTGTTGTCTGCTTTTGCTATCATGCTGGTTTTCCCTTGTATTATTATTATTACTGACATGTTAGACAAGAAAGACAGCAGAGGCTGGACAAGTTTGATTTTAAGGAAACCAGAGGACGGTGGGTGGCAGGGGCAAAGTGCTGTGCTTTGGGTCCCTTGTGCTTTGCCATTCGTAACCCTTTCCTCTATCTGGAGTCCGAGCATCCCCTGGATTATGGCCCTGTGCCCCTCACCCTAACTGTAAGGCCCCTGCTTGCCTTCTGACAAAAAGAAAACCACTTGTCCCCCATGCTGCCAGCATGTGGGATGCTCATTCAAAGAGCGGGAGGATTCTTTGTCTCGCTCGTCTCCTTCTTCTACTCCTTCCCCCTTCCACCCCGCTTTTTTGCTTCTCACAAAGAGTTGTTCTGTGCAGACTCAGCCTGCCAAATTATGCTAAAAGCTTTTCCTTGGAAGACAGTAGCAGTTCTTAAAATAATGTAAAAAAGCGGGTTTCTGTAAGCTCCCATGGGTGCGATGAGCCACTGCACTGCACCTGCCGTGGGTTTGATGTTGTCACTTCTGAGTGGTTTTAAAATTAACGGCACAGAGGGGAAGAAATATAATGGTTGTGAGAGAATCTCCCCTCTGGAGTCTTTGATCCCAACTATTCCGACCTTAGTCTTTCACTTTACTGGGTGGAGGGAGGAAGAGTGTTTCCTGAGGGGTGGTGGTGGGGGGTGTGTGTGTGTGGGGGAAAAGATTCTCAAGTGAAAGAAGCAGCAGCAGGAACAGCAAAGGGCCAAATCCTGAGAGGTGCTGAGCTGCTGCAGCTCCCAGTGAAATCAAGGGGAGTTTCAGGTGCTCTGCTCTTCTCAGGTTTTGCCCTAAGTTACCACCCCAAATGAAGAAAACGGTCCTCTACCCACCCAATAGTGGGAGCACAGCATGCACCCATGCTCCATGCTCGTTTGCATATTCTGAGCCCATAGCATTATACATTTGGTCTGCCAAGCAACCTGTCAGGCATGGAGCTCATCAGCCACATGAAAGCTGTTGGAGATGCCCTTTGCCAGGCTGAAATGGGAGCAGACAATGGGCTTGCCGATGCATTGCTATCAGGTGTCCAGGATTTTCAACAGGGATGGTGCATCTGTCTGTCTAGTTACTTGTATAACCCTCATCCCCATAGTAACTGAGCACCTGGCAGTCATTAATGCATTTATCACAACATCCCTGTAAGGAAAGGAAATATCATTATTCCCAATTTTCAGATGGGAAAATGAGATTCAGAGAGACCCAGGGTATGTCTACAGTGCAGCTGGGAGCATGCCTCCCAGCCCTATAGACAGACTTGTGCTAGTGGGGCTCTAAGTAGCATGCTAAAAATTGCAGGGTGGACATTCTGCCCCAGGTTGGAGCACATAACATACAGATCAGAGAAGTTCATACACAGGAGATGTGCTGGAATTAATTTTTTCCCCACCATCTCTTTCTCTCTTGTTCAGTTGGTGATAAGTAATGGTAGGAAGGAAACTAATAACCTCAAGTTTCAGAGTAACAGCCGTGTTAGTCTGTATTCGCAAAAAGAAAAGGAGTACTTGTGGCACCTTAGAGACTAACCAATTTATTTGAGCATGAGCTTTCGTGGAAAGCTCATGCTCAAATAAATTGGTTAGTCTCTAAGGTGCCACGAGTACTCCTTTTCTTTTTGCGAATAACCTCAAGTAGTCCCTTTACAGGAAACATGTATCTGAAGAAACCTTGGGAAAGGGACATACACACAGTAACTGCCATAATCTACCAGTCAGAGCTTCTAGTTCAAATTGGTTGTTTTTCCAAGCAAAGCTGAAATCTTTTTTGTCAGGCGTGTTACTGTAAGTAGGACCCAATGACTTCACGAAGGAATGCCTGGGTGAGATACCAGCTGATTAGCCCCTAGGGACCACTGGAAGTTATGGTAAATAGCAGAATGAATGGAGGATTAGCCCTCCAAAGATCTGTAATTAAAAGATCCATTCAGTTACACCCAGGTAATGATGAAACTTTCCTCTGTAAACTAGAGCAAGCACATCAGTGCCTTGTCACCACAATAGATGACTAAATTAAAACCTAGAAATGTAAGGAGGCTGATGAATTCATGGCAGCTTAGGTTGTGTTGTGTGGAGGGAGCTGAGCCTTTCTTCCAGTGGATTTAATTGGCTCGTTGTTAGAGTGGGGCAGGAGCAAGATTTTGTGCATTTGGGGATTTTTTTTCTTTCCAGAATGGAATGAAAACAAAAAAATTTCCTGTGAAACAAAATTTGTTTGGGGTCAATCGAAATGCT